CAGCAATACAACTTTACAATGAATGCAATTGTTTGTATTCAGTTCTTTATTATTATTGTTACTATTATTATAATTTTCCATCTTTCATATCTGCAATGCCTGTATTTTGGCATTTGTTTGCAGTCCACTTAGAATCCAACTTGGAAAAATATTTTTTTTCTTTATTGGCATTGATTGTTTTGAAATTCAAATGGCTTTAACATGCCTGTGTCTTTATTTCTGTAATAAATATGGCTGTAAAGCCAGGATCTTGATGGTTTATTGTGGGTATGTTGTTTACATGAAATAGTTTTTGTCTTGCGTTTACAATAATTTTACATTTGAATAGTCAAAATTACAAGTTTTAGTCTTTTAAATGTGATTAATTTTCAAAAAAAGTGTGATCAATTAGTTCATTTTTTTAATCAGTTGACAGCACTAATTTCTATCTATTTTTGTTACATTTCTTAAGAAGCATTGCTAATTTTTAGACTTATTTGTTGGCCAGTTGTGGTAAATATTAAAAGTTATAAACCATCAATTATGTTTTATTAATCCACTATAGAAATGAGATTTAAAATAAAATATAAAATTTGATTTGGTGTCTCTCGAATCATCTCACAGCTACATTAATATAGAATATTGTAGAATGTTTTATACAGGGTTTCTGCAGGTTTCATTAAGTCTTTTTAAAATCTTTCTTCTTCTATGTCGCAGTTTTTCTCCTCTTTTCTTTTTTTCCCCCTCTGTGAAACCAGGCAGTTTGGGATGTTTTGACACATTGAGCTTGTTGACCCATCAAAAAAAACTAAATAAATTGTATAGCAGGTATCTCTCTCTCTCTCTATATATAGATTTTAATTCAGATTATTTTCTCAAGTCATAATACCAACTAGTTTTAAGAACAGGGGAAGTTACACTTTATTTTCTTCCCCCATTTCTGGCGCCCCCTGGATGTAAGACCCTTAGCATTTGCCTATACTGCCTATGCCACAGGTCTGGTATTATCACTAACCACACCCACAAAATAATATCCAATCACCTCTTCAGCTCACTGCTTTATAAAGTCAACATTCAACATTATCTACACACCAAATGTTTCATAAAGTAGCGATTTAAAGAAGCATCATGGTCAAATATCTCCTGCTGATTCTCACAGCAGTATCAGGTAACTCACTGTTGAAGTGTTTTGACTCTAAATGTAAAGTGCTGTGTTGTCAAGTGTTTATATTAAATTCCAGGTGCACTTTCCGACAGCATTGGACCAAATGAAAAAGAAACTAATGTGATGAGTAGAGAAGGAGAGTCTATGAGATTGAGCTGCTCATTTGAATCAAGCAGCAATTATGTTTTGCTTTACTGGTTCAGACAGAACCCTGATGGAGAGCTGCAATATTTACTATATAAAGGTGCTCGATCGTGGAGCTCTAAAGAAGATCATTCAGAAGATCGTTTTCAGTCAATTGCAGCATATTCCTCCACTGAACTCAATACTGCTGAAGCGGCTCTGTCAGATTCAGCTCTCTATTACTGTGCTGTGAAGAGCCGTCTGTACAGCCCAGTGATACAAAGAGCTGAGACGCTTTACAAAAACACATAGCCAAAACTCTTGCTTTGAAAGCCAGTTATCAAATGAGTATCAAACCACTTCTGGAAAACCACACAGACTGTGTAAAGACACCTGCGGAACAAACAAGACTGAACTGAACGGGTTCTAGTGATTTAAAGCAGTGAATCAATTTTAAAACATCTTAATTTAGATTTTTCATAAAGTGATGATGACTGAAGTTAAACTCATAAATTCATTATGAACTTTACAGTCAAGTCATTTCATAACTCGCTACTAAAATCTTAATAATTTATGGGGAATGATGATAGTAGTAAGAGATATTCAAAAGAAATACCGAAAAAAGGTAGGCATGGGTGATATGGATATTACTGTCTAACAGAGGTTATATGTGCTGGTGAAGATTAAAGATATAGATGAGGTTTGCACTGTAGGCTATGTTGCGTGTTGTTTTTGAACCCAAATAAAGACTAAATGTATGCTGTGTGTAGTTTATTTGTAGTTGCTAACATATCGGAGACTGTAAGGGTCTGTGTGTGTTCATGTTGCATTTATTTATTTATTTTGTATAATTGCAGATATTACAGAAGACTATTTCACACTGTCATTGATCTGCAGTTATAATCAAATCCTGTTCACAGAAAGGTTAGTAATTTATACAAAAGTATTTATGTGTATAAAGCATCTGTTTTGTGAGAAGTGCTTCTCATGTAGCATGTGAACGACCTGTAAACAACTTGTCATCAAATAGACAGACTTCATATGTAGACATTCAATATTGTCAATTTGATGACTAATCTAATTTTTGACTATTGTTAGTTGTCTGTTAGATTTTCACTAAAAGACCAAATTTAGCCTGGTTTTAGCCAAGACAACTACACTGTGGGGAAAAAAAAAAAGTTGACTCAACTTAGAATTAAGGCAACAAACTTAAGGACATTTGAGTAAATGGGTTGAAAGTCGAGTCAACTCAAAATGTCCTGAAGTTTGTTGCCTTTTACATTAAGTTAACTTAGTTTTTTTTTTTTTTTTACAGTGTAGGTCTGACCGTCCATTAGATGTCTTTTAAACAAACTTGCTGGGGTATAAATGAGTAGCGAAATTAAATAAAAAGCAAACAACAGTTACTGAAATGTCGGACTTTTAAAAGTAGGAAATGTAAAAACAGAAAATATTATAAGGAAAAAAGAACAATGAGCTGCTGTTTGAAGAGCTCAAGCTCCTCCCAGTCAATGTGACTGTATTTAAAACAGACTCAAAGACAAACTGAATCAACTTACTGTCATTAAACTCAGAGTTCAGTATTCATTCCTGTCAGTTTAACAGTTCAGTTATCATCATGACACATTGGGGAATATATTTGATCTTCTTTATTGCATATTTCGGTGGTGAGTACATTTAGTCTCTAAATGTAATTAATTAAAGCATGCAGAATATTAATTAATATGGATTTAAATTGTGTTTCAGGCTGTGATTGTGCTGAGAGTGTTGATCAGAATACAAGAGTTGTAACTTTTGTTGAAGAAGGATCTGTGACCATTAACTGTACATATCAAACCAGCGATCCTTCCCCATATCTGTTCTGGTACCAACAAAAGCCGAACACAATCCCCAAACACATGATGACAATAATCACTACAACTGTACAAAATGACAAAGACTTTGAGGAGGAGAGATTTGGTGCAAAACACGACAAAACTTTAAAATCAGTTCCTCTGCTGATCCAGGATCTGCGTGTGTCTGATTCTGCTGTGTATTACTGTGCTCTGAGGCCCACAGTGACAGGAAACACACCAGCCCTATACAAAAACCTGTTACAATGAGACATACTGTAAGAGGGTAATATAGAGACAGTGGGAAGAGACAGGGAGTAAAAAAAAAACTGCAAGTAGTAGAAAATCTAAAAATATTTCATCATGTTTAAATTTGTATGAAAAAGATTCACAAAAGATTCTTAAACAAAAACTGAATAACTTAGTGCATAAGAGTAGATTTTGTCACAAGATGGCAGTGTTCAAACACATTCACAAGGAAAAATTGCTGTATCAAATCTCATACAAAGTACATAAAAAACCTTCTTCCTATTATGGTTGATATATTGTTATTACAAAAAAAATACTAAAATACGAGTGAAAAACACTGGTGCCAAAAATTTACAGTACATCAGAAAGGAAGGCTATTCCAGAGTTTAGGAGCCATAAATGAGAAGGCTTTGCTATTCTAGGTACTACCAGAAGCCCTGAGTTTTGAGATCTTAGAGCAGGTTGGGTTGTAGCAAGACGGGAGGTTGGTTAGATAAACAGCTAGATTACTTAAAGCTTTACAGGTGAGAAGTAATATTTTAAATTCAATACGAAACTTAACAGGCAGCCAATGTAAGGAGGATACAATTGGGGTGATATGATCATATTTTCTAGAGCTGGTAAGAATGTTTATTAATAAAGGATGCTGGTCAACTAGTGAACAGAGCATTACAGTAATCCAGCCTAGAAGTCATCAAAGCATGAACTAGCTTTTCTGAATCAGAGATGGACAGCATACTTCGTAACTTAGCAATTTTTTTCAGATAAAAGAAGGCAGTTTTTGTGACATGGAAGATATGATTCTCAAAAATTAAATTGCTGTAATATGACACCCAAATATTTTACAGTAAAGCTAACATTAACTTTGTATCCCTCTAATTGTAGGTTGGGTTGTGAGATCTGCTGTGTACAGGATTTAGACTCAATAAGTAATAATTTTGTTTTGTCTGAGTTTAAGAGAAGAAAATTGTTGGTCATCCAGTCTTTAACATCTTTAATACACTCAGTTCGCTAAGACAGTTCAGACATCTCATCAGGTTTAGCTGAATTATATAAATGAGTATCATCTGCATAGCAGTGAAAGCTGTTCCCATGTCTTTAATCATGTCTCCCAGGGGCAGCATGTATATTGTACACAGCAAAGGGCCTAAAACTGATCCTTGAGGCACCCCATACTTTACTGGGCTTAATTGTGAAGGCTGTCCATGAATATTCACAAACTGGTAATGGTCAGCTTAGTAGGACTTAAAACAAATTAGTACACTGCACACACTGCATTACGTTTGGTTTAAGCCATGAGCATAATTTTCTACAAATAAATTCATGTCCATGATAAAAATATTTTTTTACATCATGTGCAGGCTTTTAGTTCTTTGTAATTTTATGGTCGAGGCCCCTCACTGAGGTTTTAACTGTATCTAAAATCCACAGCAGCATAAAGACAAAAGTAACAAAACAAAAACCATATACACTGATCAAAGTATGTAATACCAATGTATATTGAGTTTGAGTGCAGCTTAGGCTCCTCCCAGCAGGCAGAGCAGAGCAAGTGATATGAATTGACTGCTGCTTCAACAGATGCAAAAAGAGGAAGAGGAGCACAACATCTCTGCAGATTCTTCAACACTTTCAGAGGATTTCAGCTTCATATAATGGCTTTCTGGAAAAGTGGCATTCTGATCATAATTATATACATCAAGGGTGAGTAATTATCAAATAATGATCATTTTCAAATGTATTTTAAATCAATGTTATTTATGTGTGTAATCTGCATTTTTGTTTATTTTGTCATAATTTTATTTCAGGATGTGATTCTCAGGATAAAGTTGATCAGCACACAAAGACTCAATCTGCTTTTGAAGGTGATACTGTAACCATTGACTGCACATATCAGACTTCTTATACAACACCGACTCTATTCTGGTACCAGCAGAAAGTCAACGGAGTCCCCAAACACATGCTTAATAAAATCTCTACATCTGGACACACTGAGGAAGAATTTAAAGAGAGATTTCACGCAACTCTCAGCAAAACTTCAGTTCCTCTGACAATCAAGGATCTACGAGTGTCAGACTCTGCTGTGTATTACTGTGCTCTGAGGCCCACAGTGACTCAAACACACTCAACACTCACACAAAAACACAGTGAGCCTCTGATGTGACGTGACTTGTATAAACCTTTACACTTCATTTCACTTAACAAACCGATTGCCACAAATCAATTCCTTTTTACTTGGAATCCATAAAAAAACATGAATTTCATTTTTTAAATGTAAAATCAAATTGTGCACTTTGTACTTTTCTTTTTAATTATGTTCATCAGTAGTTAGTAGCGACTGCACTGAACCTTCAACAACCAAATCAAACCAAGAAACACAACCATACATCACTGCACCATAGTAAAATATATATAATTAAACATTATAAAAACCTTAAATGTAAAAACTAAAGCTACATCAAACAAGATTATGCTTTTTAAAATAGTGTTACTCTTTGTCAGTACTGTAATAAAGTCTATTCCAACAACCGCTTCATTGTTTTTGTTACTGTAAAATCATTACTTTGTTACAAATGTATTAAAACTGGCCTTAATATGACTTTGACAATAAAATGTTTTTATCCAGAAGGTGGCAATATCTTCATATACAACACACCACAAACTGTCAACAAGGGTGAAAAATCTACTGTCTTACAAATCAACACAGAAATATTTTGCCTGTTTTAAAGTCTATGTGACATTGCTCTGTTTAACATTCTTTGATAAAATAAGACGACCAGAATATCTATTTTTTATTTAATTACATGTGAGTTATCAAAAATGACATGAAATCTTCATTAGTCTAAACAATTTTTATTAATATTTTTAACACAGTGTATTGTAAAATTATTATTCGTATTGACTGGGTGTTTTGACATTCACAGCCTGAGCTGTGAATATTAATATATTTAATAATCTGATACTTATTATCTTCACTGTTACTTTCAGCACTGCAAATTTGAATCAAGAAGTTAATTAGAATTTAAAGAAAGTTACTTATCTTCCTCTGCAATTCTTTAAAGACCCAGGAGAGGGAGAATGGAATCTATTATCAACAAAGATTTATGTCATGAGCTCATCTCTTCTATATATTGTCACCATTTTCTTAGTGACTCAAAAAGAAAAGGGTGCTTTCACACTAGCACTTTTGGTCCACGCCCAGTTTTGTTTGACGTCAGAGTATGGTACATTTAGCTAGTGTGAACGTGTCTTCTGAACTCGGATGCACACTTGTGAACCGTACCCGAGTCTGCCAGAAAGAGGTGGTCTGGGGTACGGTTCATGCAAACTCTGTTCTGGTTCACTTCTGGTATAAATGCGTTTGTACCAAATAATAGAAGTAAACCGCTAACAGTACAACAAACTATTGTTTTCATAACGTTCATTCGTGTGTGTGTGTGTGTGTGTCTGTCTGTGTATTACGTACTGTACCTTGTTGACAAGCGGGATTGAGAATGGCCGTGATGTGCGTACATCTTTACATTTTGACACTTTGCTTTCGTGTCCATCACCTAGCAACAGTCGTACACACAACAGCAGCTCAATGACACAAGCGTACTGGAGTTCAGAAGGAAAAAAGACAGCATGAACAAACCAACCGAGAAGGTGGCAAGGGGAGGGCGGGCAATCGGACCTGGGTACGGTTCCTGGCATATGAACCAAGTCTGAAAGCCCCCTTAGTGTTTTCTCTATTTGAACCATCTGTTGTTTAAAGACCATCTTGAAGCCTTCATTTTGAAGAAAAGACAGTGGGACAATAATACTTGGATTACTTATACTTGGTATGTTAGCAAACAACAGTTTGGTTTTGTTTCTACATAATTATGCTGATTGTCACACATACACAAACACACACACGCATTTTAAAGTAAGAAACATGTACACAAATAAAAACAGAAATGGCCTTTCATAGGAAAGAAACTGAAGAGCTCAAGCTCCTCCCAGTCAATGTGACTGTATTTAAAACAGACTCAAAGCTAAATCCACTGTTCACTTTCATTAAACTCAAGAGTTCAGTATTCATTCCTGTCAGTTTAACAGTTCAGTTATCATCATGACACATTGGGGAATATATTTGATCTTCTTTATTGCATTTTTCTGTGGTGAGTAGGATCATTTTGAGTCTCTAAATGTAATTAATTAAAGCATGCAGAATATTAATTGATATGGATTTAAATTGTGTTTCAGGCTGTGATTGTGCTGAGAGTGTTGATCAGAATACAAGAGTTGAAACTTCTGTTGAAGAAGGATCTGTGAGCATTAGCTGTACATATCAAACCAGTGATCCTTCCCCAAATCTCTTTTGGTACCAACAAAAGCCGAACACAATCCCCAAACACATGATGACGATAATCACTACAACTGTACAAAATGACAAAGACTTTGAGGAGGAGAGATTTGGTGCAAAACACGACAAAACTTTAAAATCAGTTCCTCTGCTGATCCAGGATCTGCGTGTGTCTGATTCTGCTGTGTATTACTGTGCTCTGAGGCCCACAGTGACAGGAAACACACCAGCCCTATACAAAAACCTGTTACAATGAGATTCTGTAATTATAGAGACAGTGGGAAAGACAGTGAGAAAGAAGCTGTGTCTGCCAGAATAATAACAAAAAAACTGCAGGTAGTATCAAAATCAAAAGACAAAAAAAAGATTACATTTCTTTACATTGTGCGATTTTGTATGAAAAAGATTCACAAGTCTTTGTATGAAAAATTCACACAATACATTTTGTCACAAGATGGCAGTGTTCAAACACAAAGAGTGTGTGAGTGTGTGTGATGTGCAGTGACTTACAGCTCAGAGACTGAGCGCCTCAACAGAGAACTGAATCTCGTTGAACATGAACACACGCTTTACACTGATTCTCACTCTGGCCACAGGTACTGTATTTACTGAATCATTATTAAAACACTGTACATAGAGATTTACTTAAAAAAAAACTTACTTTAAGGGCTTTGAAAAATATTTTACATGTGTATTTTTGTAAAACATTCTGTGAAATATGTAAGCAATATTATTTGCGAAGTCTTGAATTCCACAAATAAAAGGTTTTTTTTTAATGTTGACAGGTTTGGTGTGTGGAGACAGCATTGGACCAGATGAAAGGACAGAAAACACATCTGAAGAAACAAAAACGGTCAAGTTGAGCTGCTCATATAGTGCAAGTATTGAATATGTTGTGCTTTACTGGTACAGACAGTATAAACATGGAGAACCTCAGTATTTACTTCGCAGATATGCTCGATCATATAATGATTATGAAGCCACTTCTGATGATCGCTTTCAATCAGATTCATCATATACATCCACTGAACTCACTATTAAAGATGCACGTCTGTCAGATTCAGCTCTCTATTATTGTGCTCTAATAGTAGGATCCCAGTGGTACAAAACATGAAACATGTCGTACAAAAACCTGATGCTCTTTTCTGTCTAAACTCATGAAGTGAAAACCACAATCAAAACCTCAATCTAACCAACCCAACAAAATACAAAACAATGTGGTTACATCTTCGAGAGCTTCAATCATGGCTGCTACAAAAGTAATGTAGTGTGTGCAGTGTACAAATAAGTTTCCTTGTTTCGAGTAAATCATGAGCATTTTGTTGTTTAGTTGTTACGAGGATGAGATGCAACATCAAGTGAGATTTTCTGGTGCTGGGTGAAAGAAGAGAGACAAAAACAACAAATATATGAAAGAAAAGTACTAATTTTTAAAGCGATGATAGGAAACAATGAATATAAGAATTTAGTATGTAAATGAATTAGTAATCGAATAAAAATAACAGAAGTGTAGGGTAGTCACGATACTGAAATTTGGTCCCAATCGATATTGAATTTTTAAAAACATCAATTCCTGCAAACATTTTTACGCTGTTGAACATATTCCTAAACAGCATTGATTTGCGATTGTGTTCTCATGCTCAACAGTGATAACTGTGATCGGCCATGAAGGTCATCAGTTCACAGAACTCAACACTGTTTACTGAATGTAAACACATATACAAGGACACTGGAGTGTGTGTGTGTATGCATTTTACAATATACACACACACAATACCAGTGTATATTGAGTTGGAGTGCAGCTCAGGCTCCTCCCAGCAGCAGAGCAAGTGATATGAATTGACTGCTGCTTCAACAGATGCAGAAAGAGGAAGAGGAGCACAACATCTCTGCAGATTCTTCAACACTTTCAGAGGATTTCAGCTTCATATAATGGCTTTCTGGAAAAGTGGCATTCTGATCATAATTATATACATCATGGGTGAGTAAATCAAAAAAATTATCAAATATTGATCATTTTCAAATATAATTTAAAAAATAAATGTTATGCGTGTAATCTGCATATTTATTCATTTAGTTGTGATTCTATTTCAGGATGTGATTCTCAGGACAAAGTTGATCAGCACACAAAGACTCAGTCTGCTTTTGAAGGTGATACTGTAACCATTGACTGCACATATCAGACTTCTTATACAGGCCCAACTCTATTCTGGTACCAGCAGAAAGTCAACGGAGTCCCCAAATACATGCTGAATAAAATCACTACAACTGGACACACTGAGGAAGAATTCAAAGAGAGATTTCACGCAACTCTAAGCAAAACTTCAGTTCCTCTGACAATCCAGGATGTGCGAGTGTCAGACTCTGCTGTGTATTACTGTGCTCTGAGGCCCACAGTGACTCAAACACACTCAACACTCACACAAAAACACTGTGAGCCTCTGATGTGACGTGACTTATGTAAACCTTTACACTTCATTACACTTAAATAGATTTAGCCACAAATCAAATCCTTCCTTTGTGGAATCAATTCAAAACAACACGAATTTCACTTTTAAAATGTCAAAATCAAATTGTGTACTTTTACTGTGTATATTGTTTTTTGTATTTTTAATTTATCTTCTTCACAGTAGTTAATACCAACTGCACTGAATCTTAAACAATTAAATTATCATACTTTTCATTTGTATTCAGCATAGTTCAGTAGTTAGTAGCGACTGCACTGAACATGTAACAACCAAATCAAATCATGCACAACCACACATCACTGCAACATAGAAAAATATATATATAATGAAACAATATTCAAAAATGTTAAGTGTATTAGTATTGGCCTTAAATATAACACCAATATATATATATATATATATTATAATTATTTATTATTTATAATTATTTAAATAACATTGTAGTTAAAATAACAGTTATTTAATTATTTAATTATATAGTATTTAATTAGAATGTTATTTAATTATTTAATTACAAATTTAATTACAATGATAGTATTTAATTACAATGATAAGTAATCAAAATAATCAATAAGTAATCAAAAATTGACATGAAACCTTTATTAGTGTAATTTTTTTTAACATTCCTAACATACTGTATTATATATTATTTGCATTGACATGATGTTTTGGCAAAGATCCTGTTTATCAGCAAAAGAACAGCAGGTCAGTCTGAGCTGTGAATATAAATCGGTCTGATCATTACATTTACTGTTTGTAGCACTACAAACTTGGATTGTGTAGTATTTAATTTGAAGAAATATTTGACACTAGACTCTATCAGTTTCTCTGTTGATCCAGGATCTGTGTGTGGCTGATTCTGCTGTGTTTTACTGTGCTACGAAGACCAAAGTAGAAAACACACTCAAAGTAGGGCTGGACGATATGGCAAAAATTCATATCTCGATATATTTCTTAATTTCAGTCGATACGATATAATTCCAATATCGATATGGACAATATTAGCCAGGATAAAACTGGCAAGACTGCACATAATGGATGTACTATAGAGATTTGGTGCAAAACACAAAACTTTAAAATCAGTTCCTCTGCTGATCCAGGACCTGCATGTGTCTGATTCTGATGTGTATTACTGTGCTCTGAGGTCCACAGTGACAACACTCAACACTCCCACAAAAAACCTCCATGATGAGCTGTACTTTCTAGGTGGTTGATGATTTTTTTTTTGTTGCTTTTGTATTTTGTGTGTTACTGTACATCTGTACTGTAGGTTTAATCTTGCTATTTATACCCTAAAGTACATTAAATGCTGATATACCAAAATACATGTATTTAAACTTCCCTTGTCATACCAGAACAAAATTACATTTCTTATTAATATTTTATACACTAAATTATTTATATTTTTTATTTCCAAACCTAATTGAAACATAAAAACATTACTGTCTCAAACTTAAAGAAAAAGTATTTCAGGGGTAATTAATGTGTTGGTGCTCCATGGATAAGGGATTCATAAAGATAAACAACTAAATTATAAATCCAAAGCACTCGAAAAAATTACTTAACTAAAATATTTAAATACACTGTAAAAAATGTTCCACATAACCGATTTGTGCTGGGACAACATAAAGGAATTAAGTTAACTTATTTGTTTTTACCAAATTATATGTATTGAACATAAAACAATTAAAGAATTGCGTTAATTCAGCTCATTTTAAATAGTAGTTTAAACAAACAACAAATGTTTTGTGTTGAATTAATTTGAGTGTAATTAAACTGTGGATAAATATTATAATTAAGTTAGATCAATTTAACAGATCTAAGTTGCAATGGGCTTTTTAAGTGTAGTCAACTTGTCGCTTTTAAGGCAATGGGTTTACTCAATTTTTTAAACAATCACTTTTTACAGTGTTGGACTTTGATTTTGATTGATTTTATTGTTAAACATTACAGCTTCCTTGCAATAGACCTTGCAATGCAGAAGAGGGCGACAAGCATTTACTCTCTACTGTTCAGCAGTTTGGCTAATGTTGATCATTTCTTAGCAGCTTTCTAAACACTTGATTTCTTAAATATTGCAAAGCTGCAAGTGTTGATACCCTAACTGCCTTGTCTCTCCATTTTTTTTTTACATCTTTCCAATTTTCTTTTTTTATTGCAAAACATCTAACTTTTGTTGCACTAAAATATATATTTTTTTATACAAAATGTCAAAAATTTATAAATTCCTTAACTATTAAGTCATTCCAGTATCATTCATTCATTCTCTTTTCAGCTTGTTCCCTTTATTAATCTGGTGTTGCAACAGCGGAATGAACTGCCAACATATCCAGCATATGTTTTACACATCGGATACCCTTCCAGCTGCAACCTATTGCTGAAAAAAGCCCCTACACTCATTCACACACATACACTACAGACAATTTAGTTGACCCAATTCACCAGTACCACGTCTATGGACTTGTGGGAGAAACCGGAACACTCGGAGGAAACCCACACAA